GAAGGAAGGAAGGAAGGAAGGAAGGAAGGAAGGAAGGAAGGAAGGAAAAAAGGGAAAGAAGGAAGGATCGATCAGTTTCCCAGAATCTTTACAGCTGATCTTCTGGGTATTGCTCTGGAGGAATGCTCTGTATATTATACACTGTTCAGTGTTTCCTGTCTCTCCATCTATCTCTCTATCTCTCCCTCCCTCTCTTTCTCTCTCATCAATCTGATAAACCAAAATATATTTAGACATTGAAAAATGTTCCCTAGAGGGTAAAATCACTTTTAATTAAGAACTGCTGGTACAAACCAATGTTCTTAAATTCCTGACGTATCCATAATGCCTAAAGGGTTGTTAGAATAGCAATGGCTGAGCTTCATCTCAGCCCACCACCTTTTGACTCAGGAGGTAGAGAATGGGCATGCGAATCTGCACTTCTGTCAAGCTGCCTGATGGAAGTCATGCTCCTGTTCCAGCCACCACACTTGGAGATTAAGCATTCGCAGCTTTCATTAGTTTCCACACCGCATTTCCACCCTCTGGCTTTCTTCTCTTCCATTCTCTCTCTCTCTCTGCCCAGTGCTCAAACCCAGGCTGTACTCTCTCCAGATGCAGCCAGCTCCCTGCCTGGGATACCCTTCTCATTCCTCTGCTTTTTCCTGAGCATCCTGCTTGCTTTTGAATCCCTCCAATCTCTTCCTGCTCACAGAAAACTTTCCTGGTGACTCGAACATCGGTGGGGTGCTTCCTAGCTTCATTTGCCAATACTTTCTTCATTCTTGAGGGGAGCAAGTGTGGGCAGATGTGTCTGTGTATGCGTGTGGGTGTGTTCTTAAACATGTGTGTACATACCTGTGAAGGCCAGAGGAAAACCTTGGTCTTTTTCCTCAGTGGATGTCTACCATTAAAAACACAAAGCAAGTCTCTCTCGCTGGCCAGGAACCCACTAAGTAGGCTAGGCTGGCTTCCCAGTGGGCCCCAGCAATCTGCTTCTCTCAACTCCCCCAGTGGCAGGATTAAACATGCACCACCACACCCTGGCTGCTCTAGTTAGAGTGGGTTCTGAAGACCAAACTAGAATCCTCAAAGCCATCTCACCAGTTCTCAATCTTCCTGCAGATGTCTCTGTCTTCCCAACTGATGCTCTCCACACGGTAACCATTTGTTCATTGTATACTCAGACACCTACCACAGCCAGGGCTTGCCTGCAGTTCATATACAATAACTGTTATTGGGCATTCACCCGTGAAGGTGGTACAGAGTGTTTGGCTGGTCATGCCTGAGCCTCACTGTGAGAAGCCCTTCCCAATACTCACTGGCACTACAGTGATACTCAGCTGCTCATGGTAAAATCAGCCCTTCTGAAAGGCAGGATGGGCTCTCGGGCAGCCTTTTACTTATATTTGTTGGTTATTTTGCTTTGAGAGTGGCTATGAAATTCTAGCAAGCCTGGCCTTCTTTGAATACAGCATTGACCTGCTGCCAGACAGGAGCTCCGATCATATGGCTTTTATTCTCTCAAACAACAAAAGTGAAAAGTGGATTTCTTAAACCATCTGTCAGGGGTAGATTTTAGACCCTGGTTTAGTAATTAAGGTTTTTGTCCCTTAAATGTTTTTCATTCTTGTTTACGCAGTATCTATGTGAGCATCAACTTTAGGTAACTCGCTGACTTGCTTCAACCATTTGATTGCTTCTGTGTCGGTTTGTTTGGAACTCCTCTCCATGATAAAAGTCAAAATTGATTTTTATTTATCAAAATAAATTTTATTAATGAAAGCACTTAAATACGCAGGCAGTTTTAGAAGAGCTATGACTCCCCTTCCCCTGCGATCACCCAGCTCTAGAAATCATTAGTCATGGCCAACTTCATGTCATCCATTCCCTGAAGCCCCTGGCCCCACTCATACCTATGGGCCATTTTAATACAAATCCACACCAGCGTCAATGGCTGTGGCGCACAGTGAGCAGACAGAAGCCTTACAGCACTCTCAGGGGTACCCCTCCCCAAGTGTCTCATTTCTTTAAAAATTACCAGGGAAAAGAATCGACGTTTCCAACTGGATAAAACATCATCATAAAATGATGTTTTAAAGGCCTGTGGGAATCTGCTATGGAAAGCCATAAAGGGGAAAAGCCGAGGCCAGGCAACACTATGCCGTGGCCCTGGCGTAGACACCTTATTCCCTGAGCTGAACGCACTCCAGGAGGTACTACTGAAGAATGAAGGACCTTCCAATAAACACAACCACGAAACTATCTCATGACCAAAAATGGCACCTGGAGGATCTTAATGCCAACAGATACCCTGCCACCTGTGCACATCTGCCTTTCTCCTAGTCATTTGCTACCTTAGGAAATACTGGGATTTTCTGTTTTTATTTGTGTGTGTGTGTATGCATGTGTGTTGTGGATGCCCAAATGAGGGCTAAGGTCAGAGGAGGATGTGGAGTGCCCTGCTTTATCACTTTTCACCTTGCTCTCTTGAGACACAGTCTCTCACTAAATCGGGAGCTAGGCTGACAGCCAACAAGCCCTCAACCAGTTCTTTCTGCTCCCTGCCCAGCCTAGCACTGGGGCTACGGGCAGATGCACATGAGGCCACATGCAGC